AATGCTATTCAACTGGCTGTTTACGTTCATGGGATAACTACACAGTTTGACAATGGAGAGGAATTGTTCCTGGAAGCCAGGCACACTAAAAGAGGTAAGGAGTTGCTTGTGAGACTTGTTTTTCTCAATGCAGAAACTTGAGAAGACATTTGAAAATATTACTACGTATTGGAAGTAGGCGTCTTTACTCCTGATAGAGCTATGGTCATGGGTGGCTCAAAAAAAAGGTTAACTTCATTTGTAAAGAAAGACCTGAAGTCAGCTGGACGCTGGTACTTGTAATTCTAGCTACTGAGGAGGCTAAGATCTGAGGACTGCAGTTCAAAGCCAGCCTGGGCAAGGAAGTCCATGAGATTCTTATCTCCAATAAACCACCAGAAAACTGGAAATGGTGCTGTGGCTCAAGTGATAGAGCACTAGCTTTAAGCTGAAAACTCAGGGACAGAGCCCAGACCCAGAGTTCAAGCCCAAGCGACAAAAAAAAAAAAAGAAAGAAAGAAAGAAAGAAAGAAAGAAAGGAAGAAAGAAAGAAAGAAAGAAAGAAAGAAAGAAAGAAAGAAAGAAAGAAAGAAAGAAAGAAAGAAAGAAAGAAAAGAGCTGAAGTCTTGATCCATTGATTTAATTTTATGCCCCTGCATCATGCACCAAGAAATTCTCTATGCACAGCTGCTGCAGCACAACAATGAGATGCTAACAGTAGTATCATATATAAATTTTGTCCAAAACAGAGGGTTTAACAGCCACCATTTAAAGTAGTTACTAAGTGATGTTGACTCTGAGTCAGGTTGTTACTATATCACTGTGAAGTGTGGTGGCTGAGTCACAGGAATATGCTCATGAGACATTATGAACCACAGGTGAAGTCAAGCAGTTTCATTAAGATGAAGGGAAATTGTCGGGATTGATAGCCACTGGTTGTGTGATCTAGTGTTCATGGCTTCTCAAAGCTGAAGGTCAAGATGCAAGGTCCCACCAAGCTCCTCAGCTCCTTGCTTTGAAATGTTAACTCTTACGATGCCAAAATAAGGCTGTGGAATAATCTAGTGTATTTCCTTACTCTAGAAGATAAAAGTGTTGTATGACATGTGCATATGCTGGTGAATGTACAGAACTGACTGAGGCAATTAGTAAAAGATTCAAGGATGTAAAAAGCAAACAAACAGAAGTAAACATCTTGCTACACCATTCAATGATGAGTCAAAAGCTAGGTATACTGCTTTAATTCAACAAATGTTACGTGAGCAATGATGAATTTCCTACACTGAAACATGCACCTGTGTTCTGGACAAGTTATTACTATGGGTACTTCTTTTCAACATTTACCATTCCAAAGAAGTGACTACACTCCAGATTAACCAAAGTAAAAAAGGGCTGGCAGTGTTGTTCAAGTGATAGAGCTCCTGCCTAGCAACTGCAAGAACCTGAGTGAAAAACCTTAGCACCATCAAAAAAAGGTGTGACTCTGCCACAATCACATAATACCATTGTATGAAAGTAAACAATGGCCTTAGAAGTAAATGAATTATTGCCTTTATAACACATACAAACAAAAACTTAGTAGGTGGCACTCATTTCAATTGCCTGTCCTTTCATTTCATCCACATTTATACACTCCAATTATAGTTTTCTGTTTGTGTCTGCATGCTTCCAGAAGACTACTGAATACCACAGATAAGTGAAAAACTGCCTTCTAAATCTGTTTTGGCAAACATACATTTGCATTCTGTAGGTGTCCTCCAGAGTAATTATTTTATGAATTAAACTAAATTAAGTAAATAAAATAAATTAAAATTAAATAAATACACACTGTATTGGCTACCCTATCAAGATTGTGCTTCTACTACTTCTTATCGTTAATGTTAGGAATAATGATTTAAATTTCTAGGGTTCATTTATAAAAACAGATGACTTTGAACATATCCAAAAGGATTTCAGAAAGAAAAGATAATTAAGATTCATAGTTTAGATTTGTTAGAATTTGGAGTGTTTCTTTGTACTTGTGAAAGATACTAAGGCCAAGGAGCATAAAAAAGATGTCTGTAAACTGTTTTTCAGTCAACAAAAAAAATCAAAATTATATACAAAACATATACTTTAATAACCTACATGGTATACTGTCTATTGTCCCAAACTTAGTCTGAAACCCCTTTATATGCTGAAGAAAATTAAAGTGAGTGTAAATTTTACTCTTCTTACTCAAAATAATCTAGTATAGACTCAGGCATTCTAAGCCTCATGTGAGTAATCTTAGGCATGCCTCTAACGCCATGGAAATACTCTCTATCATCTTAAATGAGAAATTCCCTACATACTCTATGCTGCTTAGGACTTATTTTATTGCTCAATACTTTTTTAAAGAATATTAAAATAATGAGTAGCCAAAGCAGAAGGAGTAATATCATTCTAGCATTTCACAAACACACAAAAAGTCTTGCTCATTCACCTTCACTTAGCAGAACTTGGCAGTAGATTAAAAAAAAAAGAATGGTTTCACCTTAAGCCATCTCATTTAATATCCACAAAACTAACTTCTTTTTCCATAATGATATGTGTGGCCTACTATCAAAAGAAGAACTAATAAACACTCATTAGAACAGAAATAGCAGCAAAGCATTCAAAAAGAGCAAGATGAAAAGGCTAGTATAACCCCAGGGTAAAATATCCAATTTCACATGTAACTATGTAGAAAAGTTAAAGTCTAATCATAATGATAGCAACAATAGTCACATTAGCAAAGTATATCCAAAAAAATAGAAAACTGCATAAAGAAAATAATGAATATAAAAGTGCACACAGGCAAAACGTGAGTATGGTAGGGCCTAGGTGCTGCAAAAACAGGATGCTTAGGCAAAACTCAAATAACTTCATAGAGTTAGAGAGGCCATCAAGAGTATGCTCCCAAGATTTTTTTGCATTCATTCTTATTTGGCATTTTTGGGCTCTTCAGGCAAGAGGTTAACTCATTAATTTTCCCCAGAGAAAATAAAATAGCAACAGGAGCAAAGAGCAAAACTCCAAGTTCAAATAAATATGACCTCCACCCCAACACTTTTGGCATATTCCCATTCCTGGAAGACTGCCTTGTTCAGGGTGATGCATCTCTTGGAATACGCCAGTACCATTCAGATAAATAGGCAAGATTCAATTACAGATAAGTGAATGTTTCTCTCAGCTTCTAAAAATATTGTTTTCTGAGGCTTCACTGCTGCATAGAGTTCAAAGTGTTATATACAGAACATTAATAGTAGAACGTAAGAAAATCTATACATAGTATACCCTCCTGAAGCCTTGATTAAACTGGTTCCCCCCAAAATTTGGGGCTGGCCAAGCCTATTTATCATTTAGCCTAATCTGAGTAGATGATAAGTTCCAACTATTTTACAGGTAGCATCTAAAAACTATAAAACCAATAACTGATAAATGGTACTAAAGAAAGGTAAAGAGAGGGCTCAAAACTAGTTCAAGATCTGCTACCACCAATAACTTGGCATTTGATCTAAACAAGCCATTTACCAGTTTTTCAAATGACAAGACTCCTTTTTACCAAGCTGTTTGAGAGAAGAAAAATAGCAAGATTACAGATAGAAAGTCTAGTATACTAGAAACTTTTTTTGGTGGTACAAAGGCTTGAACTCAGACCTTGTGCTTGCTAGGGAGTTATTCTACCAATGAGTGCTACTTCAGCCCCTTTTGTACTGTTATTGTTGTTTTGGGTTAGGGTCTTGTTTCTTATCCTATTTGACACTTCTGCCATCGCCGAGATGACAGGCATGTGCCATGGTACCAAGCTTCTTGCTTGGTACCATAGATAGAATTTCAAGAACTTTTGTTTTGCCTGGGCTGGTCTGGCACAACAATCCAGCCTCTCAAGTAGTTAGGATTACAGGTATAAGCTACTGCACCCAGCATAGTAATACCTTCAACAAACCCTGATACATACTACTCATCCTAAGAAATAGTACATTATTAATGCCTTCAAGGATCCTATGTGCCTATTTTATTACATTTCTTTATACTCACTCCAGATTATTCTAAATTTTGTTATCATTTCTTTGTTTTTATTGATAAAACCATGGTATTTATATGTATCCCTAATATATCTTTCTATCTATCCAACCATTTATTTTCCTTCTATACATTTATTTAACCCATCCTCTTTTAATATTGCTATATACACTTGTCCTTCAACAGCATTTTTCTTAGAGCAATTCCTTAACATTTTTTGTTTGTCCCATTGAAGCAAAAAAGATACAGTGAAGTTAGCAACTGACCCACTGTATGAGAGGTAATTATAAAAATAATACTCTTAGAGTTTTATAGCAAAAAATTCATATAGTTAAATCCCTGTTTTCACTGTATTTGATGTTGGTATAATTTGGGGAGTGAAAGGGGAAAAAACAAATTGTTTAAATAAGGATACAGGTGGACTCATTGCAGCAATAAGATGTACAAGATGTTATGTTGAAAAATGAACTTGACAACTTTGGCGGGGTGGAGGGGAAGAGGGGAAGGGATGGTAAGGGGGAAACAAAGGAGTAGGCAACAATACTTGATAAGAAATGCACTCATTACCTTGCTCATGTAATTGTAACCCCTCTGTATGCTATTTTCTCAATAAAAAACTTATTATTATTAATAATAATAAAAGAATAATACTCTCAGAGGTTTATAGAAAAAAATTCATATAGTTAACTTCAATTACCACACAAACATTAGGAACAAAATTCAGTTAAAACTTGATATTGACCTCATATAGCTGCCATCTTTATAACAAAGGTGAAAGTATATTAAAGAATACTGATATAAAAAGCCCTGAGCAATATTCAAATACTTCCTTAAATGAAAAACAAGAATAAATTAAGTAAAGAATATCGAGAAGATTTTTTTCTTTTTCAGAGATGGACTGTCAGAAAATACCCGTATTATAGAATACTCTCAGTAAAGAGGATGGCTTCTGAAACAGGTAGTGTGACACTAAGCAAGCTAATGACAGCATTCACCTGAGCAAGTGGTGGAAGAATCGCCTTGCGTACTTGCTGATTTGGTCTCTATATTTCAAAATAGTTGTATCCAGAAGCGGTCTTGTTGGAGCATAGAAGGTTCCAAGGCTTGCCTCAAGCTGTGCTGTGGAATTCAAACATAGCAGCACTAAAACAAGTGAAACTCCTTCAATTACAACAGAATACTCATGTTTGCAGTCAGTCAGGTTTTGCAAACTTGGATGAAATGTGAGCTTGTTGCAGGAAAGATGAAATTAAAATATGACAGCTGGTACAAAAACAAACCTGTGTATAAACTTTCACTTGAGGCAAAGCTGACAATGACTCTGAGCAACAAATAGCTGTCAAAACTGAAGAAATCCATAATGAACCAACCTCTCACCACAAATGGGTAATTAAAACAGTGACTCATCAAAGAAACACAGTTTGAACTAGTATTTCCAGTGAAATCAACTCACAGTGTGCTCAACATTTACTCTCTTTAACTGAAAGTATAAAACTAACCTCTTTGCATGGGGAAGTGAGATCAGTAGAGTAGAAAGTTTTTTCTAAATAATACAAATGAAAAGGAGGCAGTATTATATATAGGCATTTCTTTAAAAAACAACTATCTTCCAATTTTAACAGAACAGTGAAAGTCCCTCTATCTTTTGTAAATCCTATCTGAAACAAGATTCTTGGTTTTGTCCATGTATGAAAGCTAATACCCTGGGAGAGAAAAGAAGGACTGGAAAACAGGTTTTGAAAAAGAAGGGGGCTAGGGATCACGAGAAAGGCACATTTGTCTACTTCACAGTTTTACTGAGACTTGCCTGTGGGGCTGGGCTGTGCTTCCTCCCAGAAATACCTGGAAGTTAAGTAATTACCATAGGGTGAGAATATGAGTATGTATGAGAACACTACAGTTCACAGTGAGACTCCTCTTATTTTTATGCTACCAGTACTTGGTTGAATAAACAATTCATTATTTATCAAAACTCTTTAGTTGTAGGCATATTTAGGTTTGGAAGTATTAAATACCTCATCAGAGTAATTGCTATGAACTTGGCTAAGCTGTTAGTAATTTCTTTCTCAAATCTCAAATCTAGACAGCAAAGTAAGATGAATTTGAGAGGTATTTTCTTTTAAAGCAGCAGTCAATTTAGATTAAAATTGCATACAGCAATGCTATTGTGAACACAAGCCAGATTCTCTTGCCATTGCTTGTTTTCCTGACAGCATGTTTCGTACATCTGAAATGCTCGAGCCTACATGGAATACTCCTAACTCCATGCACAGTTACAGCTTCATTAGATAGCCCAGCTTGATGTTTAAGGCAGAAATGAAGATCTCAAAGATAACCACAACACGGCTGCAAATAAAAGAGCTTGCTGGGTTCCACTAATAAAAAGGAAAACAAATTACCATGTGAAATTTGTTAGATTCAGATAGAATAAATCTCAACAGAGAAGAATTCTGAATGTTTTAGAAATGTGTTTTGCAGTTACGTGGGGGAAAATCTATGCATCAAGTTAAAATATACATTTTCTGATAACCCAGCATCATACAAGCATTTTAATAGCCTAGTTTCATAAAAGTCTTTTTTACTTCCTTATCTCCCAATATCATTCTGTGAAAATTTCTTTCATTAGGACAAGAATCTGATAATGCCCATTTGTGTATTCCCTAATAATCTTTCTTGAAACACAGTAATCTTACAACATAAATTCACTAAGGTGTTAGCAATCTTCTAGTGTCCTAAACACATTTTGGTAATTTATCTTCTCTGTATTTCTTCTTCAACTGTAAATTTAGGATCTCTTGAATAGTCTGTATGTATCACTATATGCTCCTTTTTATTTTGCCCCAGTATTGGAATTTGAACTCAGTGCTGTCCCTTAGATAACTTGCTCAAGGCTGGTGCTCTACCACTTGAGCCACACCTTCACTTCCACATAGGCTTTCTTTAGGGGCACTGCTTCTTGTTTTATAGTACATGCCCAATCTTCAGAGTATGTCAATACTCAGTAATAGTTACTTGAGAAAACTCTGCAGGCAGAACTATTGTAGTAATACTTTGTGCTATAAAATCTTGTGAATTAAATTTTTTTAAAACCAGTATTTAGTACCACTGAGGGCCAAGCACTGTGTTGGGCATTTCTTTAGAGTAGAAAAACTAGAATCTCCATAAACGGGTTTGGACTACTTCCAAAAAGTCCATTCAAATCATATTAAGTAAATATTTATTATGGGACTTCTGTGAGTTAGGGCAAGACTCATAACTTCCTGGAGGAGCATATATATATATATATATATATATATATATATATATATATATATATATATATATACATTATTCTTGCCTAAAATTACTAAAAGGAAGGTTACCTGCAGAATTCTATCTATATGCTTAAAATTTTGGAAATATAATAAAAATGAGTGAGGAAAATCTATACAAATTCACAGAAAATAGTAAGAAAGAAAACATTCTCCAGTTAGGACCTTTTGACATATAACTTGGTTTCCTTAGTTTATAAACTCCTTAGAAACAGCTTTTTGATGGCCATGATTTCCCAACATTAACATTAACACTAACTTCAAAGATTTGAAATAAAGATGCAAAGCCAGAATGTTCTGGCATATTTACATTATGTAAATGAGTAACTCATAAAATATATACTAAATAATTAGCCAATGAATGCTTTCTTTTTATTGTTGTGTGTGACATATTTTTCTTTTTTTTTCTCTCATTTAAACAATAGCTCTGGGCAACATTACCTATTGAGTAAAGGAGGAGAGGAGAAGTCCAAGCAGGTAGAAGGGAGAGTTAAGGTGTGTTAAAAGTATAAGACAAAGAATGAAAACAAGAAGGAGCAACCTGGGTTACAGCGCTTTCTCTCTCTCTCTCTCTCTCTCTCTCTCTCTCTCTCTCTCTCTCTCTCTCTCTTTCTCTCTCTCTCTCTCTCTCTCTCTCTCACACACACACACACACAGAGTGAGTGTTAAGAACTACTGTTGGGACAGTAGGTGGACTTAGGTGTAAGGGAAAAAATATTGATGTCTAATGTTGAGGAGGAATAAAAACCTTTGTTTGGGGCCTTTGTCTACCCAAATCCCAAAGAGTATATGAAATTTCTGATCAAAGTTTGAAATATAAGCATATTCCACACAGCTCAGACTGAGCTGTACAATGCGTTGTGAATTCCAACACAAGAATATACAGAAAAGTTGTTCTTTATGTAGACAAATACCACATAGTAAGTACTATATTGGAATAATTATTTGATATCTGATCCTTTCAGTCTTAATAGAGAATTAGCATTTTTGTCCTCCAGTCTCTAGTAATGTAACCCAAAGGCATTCTACAAAGTCTGATTTATAAATGCACGTCATGTATCAACAAAGCCCACTTATGAAATACATTCAAGCTGACCTTCTCTCTGTGGAGTGAGCTTTTGTCTGAGAAGATGATTCACAATGGCGGTCATGCTGATAAAGCACTGCTGGCCCAGAGTGTCCCAGTTCATGCTGCTCAGGATGTTTATTGCCTTGCAGATCTCATCATAGTGAATATACTGGAAGATGATGTCCATGGGGGCCAGCTGTCCTCGAGTGAGGATGCCTGTTACAAAGTGTAAAACCAGGTAAACCTATTTTTTATTTTTTGTTTTAAAATACTAAGCAGAGTAACAAAACAAAGTTAATTTTCCCATAAGGAAAATAACCATCATCATTTATTGGATACGTGCTTGACGTATGGAACTGAGCCCCTTGACAGCTATTATTTGCTATAAAATATTTTGGTACACTACTGTACACTTTTCTATCCTTCCAAAATAAAAGAAAATCCACTTTCAATCTTAGAGGACCAAGTACACAAAGGAGAAAAAAAAAAGTTCAGAGAAAGGCACTCTGTTCTGGTTTTATTTTATTGTCTTTTAAAAGGCTGATCTCATTTGAGACTAACAATTTCCCTGTATTAAACACAATAAGTACTGGGGCTTTTAAGCACCTTTCTGCTTTATTTTGTTTTTTCATCTTTTATAAATGGCTGGCTATAAAATTGGTTTTTTTCCTTCAGCCATGTTTACTCACTTGAGCAAGTCTACAAAAACTTCTCAGTTCAAATAATCATAAAGCTAAATGAGAAAATGTCTGTGAAATTACTTTGTAAGCTATAAAATATTATAAAACATTACTATAATTCTTGTTTTTATTACTGTCATCATCATTTAACTGGAATATTTATGGTTTAAGATTAAAAAATATATTAGTTCACACAAAAGATGCTGAAATTTTCTATACTAACTTCAAGTCAGATCAGAATAAAAACTTGCGCTGTATCTAACAGGACTCAACTTGACAGGGAATCTGGGGAATTGCCCTAACTATACTAAGTAGTAAAACTTTATGGTTCTTTTTGTGTTGGTAGAATCAACAAATGTGACTCTCCAAAAGCCTCACGAGCCTGCAGTGAAGCCCTGGAAGTCCTCATAAATCAGGTGGCTCCTTGGCAGTAGGTATTAATGTGCAGGAACTTTGAAGGAAAATGAAAATACCTGAATACTACTGACTCTATTTGTATCAAAAGCAGCGCTTTTACAAGGACCAAGAGAAAGAAATGATCTGTTGACAAAAAAAAAAAAAAGCTAACTAGAGTATAATAGTTCAATGATGATGAAAAAAGAAACTTTTTTAAAAATAGGAAAAAGATAAGACGTACGGAGATATTTATACAAAGATATAAACGATTACAGACTTTGCACCTGAAATTTTACAGGCCCAGAAAAACAATAAGAAAGATACTTTTAAAGGCTGAGATAAAAAACAAAGTAACCTATAATGCTAAAAAATGAACCAAAAGTAATGAAGAAACATAAAAATCTTTGCATATATTTACTAACAAAGCTTTGAAATAATAAAGTAAAAACTGACAGAGACCTAAAAAAAGAAAGAAAGAAAATATACAATTATAGTTGGAAATTTCAGTATTTCTTTCTAGAAGCAAGAGAACATATAAACAGATAATCAGAAAAATGTACAGGCTGTGCACTGAGTGGCCCATGCATGTAATCCTAGCCACTGATCTGAGAATAGCAATTGGAAGCCAGTTTGGGGAGGAAAAGTCTGTGAGACTCTTATTTACAATTAACCACCAAAAGTCAGAAGTGGAGCTGTGGCTCAAGTGGTAGAGTGCCAGCCTTCAGGGACAGCAGCCAGGCCCTGAGTTCAAGCCCCAGTATTGGCATGTACATGCACATGTGTATGCTCACATGCACACATACATGCCCCCACACACAATGTATAATACTTGAAAAACACTATCAAATTTGACCTGATAGTATAAAGCATTTCACTGAGCAATAGCAAAGTATACACACTTTTTTAGTGTACCCAGAACACTAAACAAGCAACAGCAAATCACTAAGTTTCTCCTAAAGTAGGTAATGGGCCAACACTGCTTTTGTTTTGCCCAAGAGAAATAAAAATGTTTCTATACAGTCTTGTGCACAAGACATGAAGGTATGTACTGTTCTTAGTCCTTCAGCTCAAAGTTGGCAATAGCCCATCTGCCCATAAATGTGTAAAAAGATAAAAGAAAACTATGGTATATCCATATAAAAGGCTGCTGGTCAGTAACATAAAGGAAAAAAATTATAGATGCACGCTAATGGAAGATTCTCAGGGATTAATAGTGAGTGAAAAAGAATATCAACTATATGATTGTTTCCATAAAATGCTATATAAAACAAACCTAATCTTTAGTGACAAAGCAGCTCTGAAAGAGGCGAGGATTTACAAAAGGTTTTGGAGAATTTCTTGGGACAAGGGCATGTTCAATGTCTCGATTGCGGCAGCACTCATGAAGTGTATGTTAAGCTGTGTATTTAAATTTTTGTTTTATTTATGCAGCTTATATCCCAAAAACTTGATTGTAAAATCCAGTATCATTCTAGTGTGAAAAAAAGGTAAAATTTTACCTGGAATAAAAGTTCACTTCAAATGATATAAAATCCCTTTTTTTTTTTTTACTTTAAAAATCTGGTATATTTTCTTACAAATTTGTGTTACAAACTCTATTCTTTTTTATTATTTATGTATTTAAATGACAACAATCAAGACAATATATCAAAAGGCAATGAGTATAATCATCAAGTTATTATGATCTTTATAACTGTTACAGGCAATATTTCATGTAAATAAATAAAGCAGTAAAGGGTGACTGCATTATTTAAATAAAATCATTTATAGAAAAAGAATAAAGATAAATATAAACCACATGTTTAAAAAATCCCTGAGCCATGGGCTGGGAAGGTGGCTCAGTGGTAGAGCGCTTGCCTTGCATGCATGAGGCCCTGGGTTCGATTCCTCAACACCACATAAAAGAAAAAAAAGCCGGAAGTGGCTCTGTGGCTCAAGTGGTAGAGTGCTAGCCTTGAGCTAAAGAGCTGAGGGACAGCGCCCAGGCCCAGAGTTCAGGCCCCACAACAAGACCAAAAAAAAAAAAAAAATCCCTGAGCCAGGCATGGGTGGCTCACGCCTGTAATCCTAACTACTCAGGAGGCTGAGATCTGAGGATCACAGTTCAAAGCCAGCCCGGGCAGGAAACTCCGTGAGACTCTTATCTCCAGTAAGCCACTAGAAAAACTAGAAGTGGCGCTGTGGCTCAAGCAGTAGAGCACTTGAGTTGAAGAGCGCAGGGACAGTGCCCAAGCCCAGAGTTCAAGCCCCACAACCTACCAAAAAGAAAAAGAAAAAAGAAACCCCTGAGTAAAATATAGTAGGATCTGTATTTACATCTATATTCCTTATTAGATCTGGTAAAAGAAAAATAAGTTAAGTCTAAATATTTCTTATAATTATTTTTATTGATGAAGCATCTAATAAAGTATCTCACATTTCTATCCAACAACAAACCACCATCAATTACCACTTAGGTAAGTATAATGTTAAAAGAGCTCATCGGAAATACGTTTTGAAGAGAATATTCTTTTACAAAGTTCCTAAAAGAAAAATCATCCTCTTTGCTTTTTAGAGAGTGACAGAAAGGCAAACATAGACATACATTCCTGTGATTTTCAAAATTCTAGGACAGGGAGAATGTTAGCTTTAATGATCTCTTTTTAGCATTACCACTTGAACATTTAGCCTTTCCCCAGCTGTGCAGACTCCATGAGAGCCCTATAGGGTCACTCCAGGCAGATGGTAAACAATTACCATCACCATGGACAGAGCAAGTAGGAGAAGGCATGCCATGGTTGGAAAGCTACATTGATGTAGCACAGCTGGGGAGGTGACAAAAGCTGTTCCACAAGTGAAGTGGTTCAAGCTGGAGAATCCAAGACCAGTTAGAATGGTCACTCTGGTGCAGTGTGCAAGCTATGTAGGGCATGGGCGGAAAACCAGAAGGTAGAAGAGTGTAAAGAGAAGACCTCTACTTGATCATGATAAAATAGGAGAGAGCAGATCAAGTGAGATTGAATTGAATTAAGATGTCTGAGTAGTATTTAAAAGGAAAATGATGGAATTTGGCCATGGACATTAGGGTGATGATGACATTTCTGGTTTTATTCTGAGAAAGGATTTCACTATGTAGCCCAGGCTGGGCTTAGTCTTCCTGCCCTAGACTCTCCAATGCTCAAATTATGGGTATGTACCATGATGTTTAATGTTTTTACTCAGAGGTTCCATCTCTGTGATTATAAAATCCGCCAAAATGGAGAGGACAAGTGGAAAAGCCTGTCTGTGGAGAAAGATGATTTCATGTCTATATAGAAAGAGTCTGAGGCAGTACCCAGCAAGCCAAGTGAATGTGTAGATACAGGATCCGGAGTGGTCTGGGCTGGAGTCAGAGATGGGATAATGGCTAAATCATTTCATGCTAGTGTAACTGAGTATCACAGACAATGTCAATTATACGCAGTGGAAGTTTTCCCAGCTCATGATTCTGGAGGCTGCAAAGTTCATGATCAAGGTACTGCAGTGGCTGAAGGATTTCTAGCTGAGCATACCCAGGATAAGAGGAAAGATAAGGACTAAAAGTAAACATGCCTCCCCCTTCAATAAAATGAAACACCGCTAAAAAAAAAAAACCAGAATCCTGGAGACCCAGCATCTTCATGAGCAGTCAGAAGAGTATAAAGAAGTAATGAAAAGCTGAATCTGGGGTCAGAAAAGCAAATGCCATGAGGGTTCTATGACAGTGGAGGTAGTCAGCAACCAACCAGTTCTGAAAAGTCATCAAGGAACAAGGAATATAATTATCATGTAGGAAACCACCCATAAATCTTCCCTAGGGCAGCCCCAGAGAACACTGCAGACACAAACCAGAACACAATGAGGAGTGAAGAGAAGTGAAGAGGTGGAGAAAGTTGATGCTTACTATTATATCAATGATGGCTATGAAAAGCAATCATTTGATCAATAATGAGGAAACCACTTGGAAGCGTTTTTTGGGCTTATGCTTGTACTCCTAGGTACTGGGGAAGCAAAGTTCAAGAGGACTGCAGTTTGAAGCCAGATAAGACAAAAAAAAAAAAAAAAGACCCCTATCTCAACATATAAACTGGGTGATAGTAATACACATCTATCTGTAGTCCCAACTACTGAGAGGGATAGGTAAAAGAACTGCAGTCTGAAGTTAGCCCCAGACAAGAACACAAGACTCTAGCCAAAAAATAAATCAAAGAAAGGCTAGGGTCCTTCTAGCGACAAAGTACCTACAAAATAAGTGTATGGCCCGAAGATCAATCTCTGGTGTTGCCAAACAAAACAAAAAGAAAGAGTTGTTTGTTTACCTGGTGAAGTGATAAAGTAAAAACATGAAAGAGGATATTATGAGATCTACAGTGGATGCAGGGAAGTAACTACTCTAGGACAAAAGGAGAGATTCCCTTTCCTTGGGATTGGGAGGGAAATATGCAAGTGCATGTAGGGAAATGGTTAGATGGCTGGACACCTGCATTAAGCAGATACTTAATGAAGGGCCAATTAAGACATGAGCTACTCTGCTGAGAGAAGATGGAGCTGGTTATGTGAGTTTAAAGAGAGCAGTGAGAGTTGGAAAAAGTTCCAGTGAGAGTAGAGGCGCTTTAATACCTCAGTAGTATAATTAAGGGCCCTTCTTCCTCTTTAACCACGGTCTATGTATGTGAAAAGTATGGAATAATGACTGCCACATAAAGACATTCTGTATTTAATGCTCTACATAAGGTAAAATTTCTTGGCTTCCTGTAGGAAGATAAGAATTCTAGCTGCTTCCTGAGGACAGATACTTCCAATAATAGTAAAGATGGACTTTTAATATTCAAAAATGTTTATGCAGTTACTATAAGGATTAAGTGGGAGTAGGGCACTGGTGGCTCAAGCCTGTAATCCTAGCTACTCAGAAGGCTGAGATCTGAGGATCACGGTTCAAAGCTAGCCCGGGGCAGGAAAGTCTGTGAGACTCTTATCTCCAATAAACCTCTCAGGAAGTGGAGCAGTGGCTAAAGTGGTAGAGCGTTAGCCTTGAGCTGAAGAGTTTAGGGATAGTGCCCAGGCCCAGAGTTCAAGCTTCCATAACCGACAAAAAAAAAGAAAAGAAAAAAGAAAAGAAAAGATTAAGAGGGAAACTCTACCCTTGGAACTGTTTTCCTTCAACTCTACACTAACTGACCTAATCTAGGAGTCAAGATCCAAAGATCTTCGCATGTTGGCATCAGCCACTGCCACGTTTACATATGACAGCATTCTATTTTAAACTATGATCTATGATCTGTCTTTACAATTTTAAATCATAAGCTACACCTTTCATGTCAGATTTTCCAAAGGCTTGCATAACAAGTATCTGAAAAAGAATCTCATAAATGCTCCTAGTGGGGAAACTGCACATGCAACTACCTGTTTACATATGCAGCAACTTGAATTATACATGAAAATGCCACATGGATGCCCAGAATCAGCTCTGTGTTAATTCAAGAAGTATATTAATTTTTGGATGTATTTAGTAGCAGATCATAAGAAAAATCTGTTCTTTAAAACTGAGTTTTCTTTTTAAAAGATTGCTAGTTGGAATCTACTATTTCAAGGAGTCTACTCTTCCCAGGAAAAACAATTTGATTTAAATGTTATTAATCTTATAATACATTAATAATGAGAAATAAGCTTTAAAAATCCTTATAAATTCTATGTTTAGATCTTTTAAAGAACCTTAGGACTATACAATTTCTCTATCCTAAAAAACTTAAGAGTCATACTGAAAAGAAAATTTAAATGATAAATGTCAGTTGCAGAAGTTATCACCTTTTTATTTGAATGCTCGTCTTCTATTGGATAATCCGCTTCCAAGAGACCTTCTTGGGAAAAAGAGGTGACAGCCAACTCATTGCCTAATTGATTTAGGAACAGTGCCCAGGGAGACAGTCCAATTAAGTTTACAAGCTGGCAATTAGCAGGAAGCCCTCTAAATCCCTCCACTGAGAGCCTGTTTACTTTAGTAAGAAGGCAAATGTGCTAGAGATAGGAAGAGAAAGCTGTGCTTTTTGCAAAGCTGTTGTGAGTAGGCCCACAAGGGAGGGCTGAAGAAAAACTAGGTCTACGTGGGCAGACAGCCTTCTGTTTGACAGGTAACTGAGTAATTTAAAGGGTGAGAGGGAGAGAGAGAGAAAGAAAAAGAGATCTATGTAGCAAGACAAGAGACACAGAGAAGAGTGTGTGTTTTAACAGACATGCAAAACATCAAACATCCACTTTAATTAGTGTTGTGTATGGAGACATACAACTGTTAAACATGTAGTTGGGCAAAGTATAACTGCATTATCTCATAATAAATGAGATTTGAAGTATTCTTTGAGCAATATTAACTTACTGACTAGAAAATTTAGCTGCATTCTTATTTTGTAGAAGGGGCACAGAACTCCCATTATATATGTAATATATATATACATACACACACACACACACACACACACACACACACACACATATGCCTTGCAGGTTAATCAGGTCATTTTCACCAGATTTATTTCATATCTTCAATTTCAGAGACAAATAAACACAAATAAAATTAAACTAAAAGTTATTTAACAAACACTCGAATGCTGTGAATCTTCTACAATACCTTTAAAAAATTAACTCTGCATCACATAGCCAAATCTTATGGGAGGTTTTAAAAATGTTTTCATTTTTCTATCTTTTCAAGCAACTGTAATATGAACTAATTTAACAAAATTTTAAACTTAAGTTCTCTCAAGAATGTTAAATTATACAAAACTACCTAAAGTAGTCAGTGCTATTTCAGGATGTTTGGTAATGGAAAGCTACAAAGAACAGATGAATCATCAGAAAAATTTTCATTTTAAATTTTTTGGGAAGTGAATTTTATCAAAGATTGTATGTGTAGAAATATCATATTATGTATGCATATATGAACATATTAGAATGAAGCCCCTTTTTACAATTAATATAGACTAATCAAAAAAGGTTTCTTTATTGAAATAAGCTATATTAATAAATTATTTTAGAGATATTGGTAAATCCTTTTGGATATTTTTCCCTATGGCAAACAAAAAATTACAATAGAGATCTTTAGCAAATTCTAAGTAAATATGATTCTTTAAAGCATTTACTTGATAACTTCTAACCTGGGAAACATACACGGATCATCTAAGACAGTCATGATAGAAAAAGTATTAACATTCCAAAAACACATAAGTTGTCAATGGATATAGAAAATACCTTGTAAAAAACTCTATTTTTATTTACTTTTTAGGACTATTTTAGTAGGTCATTGGAAAGTTAGCCACAGAGCTTTTTTGAGGAAATTACAGGAAGTGTTTGAAAGCCAACCATTTTTAGGGACGGCAAACAGAAAATCTACTTTCCAAGAATAGTCGTATTTCCTCAGTGATGCCATCATCATAAACACTGTATTCACCAATTTCCTTGACTTACCAAGCTTAAACAAAAGCACACCCAAGGGTCCTCTGTCCATCCTAAGAAAGAGAAGGTCACAGACACTTCCACTTTCAAGCTTCTGAGAAACAGCTGGAGGGGCTATCCACTGCATCTGAACAAGGCTGCTGGAAACATCAAATAACTTGCTGAATTGCAAAGTCACCCTGGGTAAGTGGTCTTCAGCCAAGAGCTGGATGTTAATAGGGGATAGAGCCATATCAAAAATTTGCAGTTCCCCTTGGTTGCTGCCAACTAGCAGAATGGCACCACTTGGGTGGCAGCTTATTAATGAAGGCAAAAGTTCAGCCTGGGCCAACAGAGTCACTCCATGATGAGTTTCATAAAGAATTACTGAAGAATCTTCACAGCCCAGAATCAGTTTGTCTTCAGTAACACTCCTACAGCAGCTAATGGCCTTCGATCTTAGTGGTATTCTAGTGACTGATACACAATGAATTTTGTTCCGAACACATTCATAGATGCAGCTGTCAGCCATGGGCTCGTGGTCTACACTGACAGAGTGCTCCACTGTGACCACCTGATAAGGCTGTTTGGTGAGAAAGCAAACATCCAGTGGCTCCCATTCTGTGCGAACAGAACTTAATACCTGTAAGAAATGTCAAAGACATTCTGATTGACTTTGGTTTTTCTTCAGCTGCCACTGCATTTTATTACAAACCATCAATTACTACCTTAAACATCAGCAATATGTAGATATATAATAGTGCTGAGCACACAGAGGTCAGTATCTATATTATAGCACAGCTTCAGGTATGAAACTATAAGATTTTTAACATAAATATTTGATTTTGAAAAAATTATGTCACTTAAAGTTGATTAGGTCCTATAATATATAAAGATAAAGTGGGCTTTTAGTAAAATAGTATGCCTAGCAGAATATCTTGAAAAGTTAGAAGTCAGAAAGGAAAAAGGATTAGTGAATCCCCTTCCCACCCACCAGGCTTCCCAATTTAGAAATTACTTAGCAAAAATACAATTAGTAGGGCTAAGCATTCCAAGAAAACACTTTAGGACTCTATTTAAACACTCTTATAGGTTTATTTTGCTATTGAGAAGGATATAACAGATTGCTAAGTAGAAAAATGGCCAATGGGAAGAAATGATATCATGTACTAGTTTTAAATTAAAATTAGACCAAGTAAATAATATTAGTTAATACTGGTGAAGCAAACTGGAATTATTTATGCCTATAATCCTAGGTACTCAGGAGGCTGAGACCTGAGGTTCTTGGTTTGAGGCTAGCTCAGATACAAAAGTCCAAGAGATGCTTATGTCCAATTAATCAACAAAAATACACACACACACACACACACAGAGACTGTTCCAGGGTTTTAACTCAGGACCTCATGCTCTCTATGGAATTTCTTGCTCATGCCAGGCACTGTGCCACTTGAGCCAGTTTGTGTGTATGTGTGTGTGTGTGTGTGATACCTATATTTATCTATTGATATATATATATATATATATATAAAATTTTAAAGTTTCTTATCTGTAGAAAGGAAAGGCTACTTGCCTACAAGAAACATCAATTCAGAACAAACAAATTTACTTTATCCAAGTTAATTATGGAAGGTCAGAAGCCAGCAGAATGTTATTAAAGAGGATTTTTTTGAAAATATTGACTTTCAAAAATTAGATGCACTTGATAAAATTTTTTTAGAATTTCACACCCCCCCCCCCCCAAAAAAAAGTGCATGTTGGCTGGGAATGTGGGTCAGTGGTAGAGTGCTTGCCTAGAATGCATGAGGCAATGGATTCAATTCCTCAGTACCACATAAACAGAAAAAGCCAGAAGTGGTAATGTGGCTCAAGTGGTAGAGTGCTGTTAGCCTTGAGCTGAAGAGGTGAGGGACAGCACCCAGGCCCAGAGTTCAAGCCCCACAACTGACAAAAAAACAAAAACAGAAACAACAGTGAATGTAAATCTGACTATATCTGACTTAGGTTTGTCTGAGTTAATAGTACTGCATCAAGGACATTGCTTGTGACCCCGTTCTGTAGTAATGTAGGTTATTACCATAGGAGGCAAGTACATAAAGAGAACTCACTGTACCATTTTAACAATTTCTTGTGAGTCAAACTATTTCAAAATTTAAAGTGTGTAATACACCAAAAAGCACACAGAGGGCTGGCTTAGTGGTAGAGTGCTTGCCTAGCATGCATGAAGCCCTGGGTTCAATTCCTCAGTAGTACATAAACAGGAAAAGCCAGAAGTGGTACTATGGCTCAAGTGGTAGAGCTAGCCTTGATTAAAAGAAGCTCAAGCTCAGGGACAGTACCCAGGCCTTGAGTTCAAGCCCTAGGACTAGAAAAAAAAAAAAAAAAAAAGCACATAAGAGCTATGTTGGGTTAGCAGGGGAGGAGGGATAGATGTGATGTTTTGAAACATCTATCTTACATATTATCACCAAATTAAAATGCTTTTGTTTTTTTCAGTCCTTTCAATATTCAAACATTTCAATGGCAACACACTTTTTACAGATTTTGAGATTACATTGACTAATGAGTTAAATTTTTATTCCCTTGCCTTAGAATACAAATGTGTTGAATATGTTCCATTCCTTCCTTCCCTTGTGATCACTTTCTCGTTCTTTTTGTGAGCCAGGTACTAGAAGGGACACAGCAGCTAGCAAATCCTCTCCCTTGGGTCCCATACACTGTACCAGAGAGAAAATAGCATCTTCTCCTAAACAAAAGTTGTAAAAGGCCAGGTGCTGGTGGCTCACACCTGTAATCCTAGCTACTAGGAGGCTGAGATTTGAAGATTGTCGTTCAAAGCCAGCTCGGGCAAGGAAAGTCTGTGAAACTCTTATCTCCAATAAACCACCAGATAATCGGAAGTGGCGCTGTGGTTCAAATGGTAGAGCGCTCGCTTTGAGCTGAAGAGTTGAGGGACAGTGCCTAGACCCAGAGTTCAAGCCCCATGACTGACCTCCCACCCCCCAAAAAAATTTTGTAAAAGTTCCAGGCTGATACACTATAACAAAAAGAAGGTTCTGAAGAAAGAAGCACAACTAAATTCTTTAATCAGTTTTACATGGCATGAAGACCCCAGACCCAGGTTAAACTGTGGACTCTATGCTTATGTTTCATGAAAACAATGGCCCATTTATGCAGTATGACTGGATGAAAAGCATGCACAGTGGACCATTGGTATCTGTAGGCATGTGGTTCCAAGAGACTGCTGTTAAGGAAAATCTGCGAATGCTCGGAATGCAATAGGGTTCAGTACCATCATGTGGGTGACTGATTCATCTTTCCCATAATGCTACCCAACTTCTATTGAAGATATTCTGCCTTTCAAGTCTAAAAATTTTAACATTTAGATTAAGCACATTAACTTTTACCTTGATTTGGGAGAACTATATACTTTTGGCAGGCATATTTTCACAACACTATGGGCAGGCAAACACAAAGCAGATCATACAACCATTCAAATGCAACTAATGGCACTAGGAACCTGATTGAGATTCTTGGCACCAACTGAACTGTGTAATGTGAATGGGAATTTAAAATTTTTGGTTTTGAAATTTCATTTGATTTTTTGAAGCCATGCTTGATCAAGGCCAGTAATCAAGGATTACTGTGAAACCTATAGGAAACAAACTGGAAGGAAATTAGCAAGGCCTGTCCATTCATATTTTTGGTGTCTCTCTATCTTCATTTCTTTCCTCTGTATAGAGGGCCACAGGAAGATCTTCTGGCCTACTTTCAGGGGAAGTAGGTCAGATGATTCTGTCAGGAGAGAAAGATAGGAGAAGAGAAAGAAAGAGGACTAGAGAGATCTTTCTGCTTCTGCTATTTTCTCCAAATCCTTCAGCTTAATATACTCAGTGTGCCAAATTGCTCTATTTGGGGTAGCATTTCCTATCCTCATCATACTTTCATAATGAAAGAAAAGGCAATAATTAACAATTAAATGCACATAGATACTCTATATTTGTACTACACAAGTACCACGGAGTAAAAAAAAGCTAAGTGAGAGCAAAGGGAGTGGGAAGGGGCATGATATTGAGAGGTCAGGTAGGTCTCTCTGATAAAGACGGCCTGAAATGGGGAGCCTGCGGCCATCTAGAAGAGAAGAACTCCAGGCAGATGAGACAAGCACTGAGGCAGAAGCTCTATGGCCTGCTGAGTGATTCACTATGGCTAGAGAAGGAGGAACAAAAAGAGAGCAGTGGAAAATGGGAATTGAGGGGGAGGATTATTGAATAATAAGTTGTAGACTAATAAGAGACTCCAACATTTTTCTCCAATGAGATGAGACGCCATAAGCAAGTTTTGAGCAAAGGAAGGGCACGATATAACATGATATGACATGATATAAATTCTAGTGATATTCCCTACAGTCTCACTGAACGTACTCTATCCTGAGCTCAGACCAGAACCTGCTCCACATTTTCTCCAGGCATATCACTTTACTTTCATCCTTCATCTGAATTCCTCTTCACGCATAGAGAACTTCTTCCTTAAAAAACTAGACCAAAATCATCCCTGTTTTCTGGATTCCTTCCAGGTAGGTGGCACCTCTGCTTTATTCCCACTTCCATATCCACTTCCCACTCCCAACTCGGTCAGTGTCTATATTGTGATATGTAACCTTCTATTTACTTTTGGAGTTTCATTTTAAGTCCTTATTATCACACTAGCAGGGTTTGGAGGTGCAAGTCACGAGTCCTAGCATTCAGGAGATGAAGGCAGGAAGATTGTGAGTTGGAGACCAGCTTGGGATACATATCAAGTTTAAGGACAGCATGAGCTATAAGCGAGACTCTGTCTCAAGAGACAATAAAGACAAACCAAAAATCTTTCTTTCGCATTTTATACCTTTCATACCTATGTACCCAAAAGGCAAAACTATGCTGGTACAAAATATGCAATAAACTTTTTAAACTATGAATTTAACAAAACCAAACATTGTAATGCTGGTTGAAATATCACATTTCAGAAGGTATATTTTTGCCAAGGAAGCCTTAGAGCATACTAAATATTTTCAACTGAAGGTAATTAAAATGCTAGTTCATACTGAGGATAGCCTGTATCAACACAGGTCAGCAGAGGGCAGTGTGGTCTACAGGTCACAAGGCTCAAGTTCCACGAAGAAGGATCCTAGGCATCTTTCATTCCAGAAATCTGCAAGACCCTCGCTAATAGATTTAATAGTCCCATCAAGAGAAAGAGGAGGAAGTGGCACTGTGGCTCAGGAAGTAGAGCAAAAACCTTGAGTTGAGAGCTCAAGTACAGTACCCAGGCCCCAGGTTTGAGACCCACAACTGACAAAAGAGGGGGGGGGAGGGGGAGAAAAAGACTTCATCCTACTTGTATATGCTTTTCAACCCAGATTATTCTACAAAAGTAGCCATAGTCAGAAGATGACTTGCTGTCTCCCCAACTGTTTCTATAACTATGGATCGTATGACTGACACTCACTTAAGAAAGAAAATGTCTTATATAGTAATTAAAAATACCATGAGCTGAAGGTGTAGGTAGAATACTAGACTAGCAAGTATGAAGCCCTGAGTTTGATTCCTGGTGTTACAAAAATTAGTAAATAAATAGATAAGCTTAAAAAGTATTTGTGACACA